TTCCAGGAAAGCCCTTCTGCTCCTTCCCTGGGCTCTCCAGCGCCTCTCCCTCTGCTGCAGCCGACCGCGCAAGGCCGAGGATGGATGTCTGTATCCAGCTGTGTCCCCCCACCCCCACGTGGGGCTCCTCACAACCCCAGCATCGGCCAGCCACCCTGTCAGCTTTGGCACAGGCGGAATCAGGGCGTGTTTCTACGTTGGATGAATGAATGTGGGTTGGAGGCGAGCACAGACCCACGTCCACACCATGGGCACCCTCGGCCTGCCCCTCCCAGGACAGGCAGGGGTAGGGCCCCTCACCTTGATGGTGTCCAGGGCCAGTTCGACCACTGCACACTGCTTCGGAGTCAAGCTCTTGGCTTCGTCTCGTACCATGTGGTCCTGGGAGGATGGGGAGAGGGGCCGGGTGGGCAGAGCAGGCCGTGAGCGCCCTGGGCACCATCCCTGTTCCCCTTTTAGGACTGGACTGAGAAGGGTCAGTCTTTTCACCATCCAAGGATCCAGCATGAGACTGGCCCACAGCAAGCGCTCAGTAAGTATTTGTGGACTAAATAAATGATGTGTACCCTTGATCAAGCTGTACCTGAAGCTGAACCATGCACATCTTTCTAACATAATTGGGGCAAATAAATTGTGCTTGAGCCAGTGAGTAGGCTTTCTGTCCCTTGGGTCTGCAAAGCATGTCACCATCCTGGGATCTCTCCCTCCAGGGAGTTCCCCCACCCCTAGTCCCATAATCCACCCCTCCTGCCCCAACCCCTCACCTTCAGTTTAGACAGCTGCCCCAGCTCCTTGGCTGCATTGAAGATCATCTGGGTTCCCTGAGGGTGACAACAGACACAGCTGGGTGAGGGCAGGGCTCCTGCAGTTCAGCCCCCAAGCACCCGGCTGACACCCCAGCCTGGACAGCATCTTGGTTCCTGTCCAGAGGCTCTGAGCAGGGCCACTGGTCGTGTCCTGGGGCCAGAGGTCAGGTGCCCCCCCCACCCCGGGAAATGCCGAGGAGAACAGGCAACCTTGTCCCTGGAAATCCCAGTCTCCTGGGGCTGTTAGCCACCGCCCGCCCCCACCAAAACCCCGGGCTTGTGAGACAGAGGGGACAGGCAGGGCCCGGCGTGAGTGGCAGTGTGGGGGGGGGGCTCAGACAGGACTGTTTGTGGGTGCGGGCGGGGGAGCCTTGGGTCAGGAAATGGCTCTGGTGAACTCTCCCTCCCAAGCGACTATCCCTTCTGTGGGGACATTCCCCTTGTAATCTGGGGTGGGGGGGTGAGTCTCACCTTTCAAAGGAAAAGCCCTGCCCCCCCAAGCCACGCCTCCATACCCGCCCGCCTTCACCCCCTCCCAAATCAGACACTGGGAAGCAGATGACATGGTTACAGCTCTGACAAGTCAGTGGGCCTGGGTTCGAATCCTAGCTCAGCTGTGTGGCCCTAGGCAAGTCACTTAACCTCTCTGAGCCTGTTTTGTTTTTTGTTTTTTTTCCCCCGATTTAGATGCAGGCAACTTGCACCCACTACATCTTTTGTGGCTTCGTCGGGACGAAACGACTTGGCTCGGCATTCACTGTCTCCAAGTCAGGGGCAGTGCTACGGGGGACAGGGTCCCAGTCTCCGTCATTGTACTGGGTGACCTCAGGCATGTCCCTGACTCCCTGGGCCTCAGTTTCCCCTGCTTCACCCACTCGTGTGGCCCAGCGGGGAGCAGGGGCCCTCCTGGGCACGCTCTGCCCCGCCAGCCAGCCCCCCGCACCCCCCGACGAGCAAGCCAGACAGACAGAGGAAGAAGAGACCAACACACAGGTTCGCGGGAGCCCGGACGGCACGGACCACAGACGTGGAGGGGGCACGGGGTGGGTGGGGGTGGGGTGGGAGCCAGACAGACAGTGAGAGGCCGGTCTTACGTCTGAGTGGCTTGGCAATTTCACCCTGCCCTGTGGAGAGAACCAGGCGGAGGTCAGAGTTGTGCCGGCTCCGGGGGGGATACGCAGCGGGACTTCCCTGCCCCCTCGGAGCGCGATCTCCCTTCCCGACCCGCGAGCTCCCTCCCTGACGCTGGGCTAACGGTGCGCCCCCGCCCCGGACCCCCGGTGGGGGTGTGGAGCCAGACTCCTGGACTGCAGGGGTCGCTGGGGGCGCCCAGGGGGCTGGAGCCAGCCCCAGGACGGGTCGCCTGCGGAGGCGGGGACAAGAGGGGGCTCGGCGTCCCCCTCCCGCAGCCCCAGAGCCCCGACCCTGGCGGGCCTGACGCTACAAAACACACCCACGCGCACGCCGAGCGCGCCCAGGGCGGGAGCGCCCGCACGCCGAGACACGCACGTGCGCTCCTGGACGCTGGCACGCATGCGCACGACCGCGCACACAGCCCCGCACGGAGGCACGTCCGTGTGCCCAGTGCCCGGCACCCCAAACGTGCACCCCTCCCAAGAGCTGGCTGCGTGGGGAGGGCGGCCCCACACCCACACTCACGAAGCCGGGGGCCCCCCCGACACGCACACGCACACGGGCGCCCCACCTTCCGCACGCGACAGCGAGACCGCGCCGTGCGTGTGTCGCTGCGGCTCCCACCTCCTTCAGGACAAATGCCCGTTAGGACAAAAAATCTACATAAAGGCCGGGCGCGGTGGCTCGCGCCTGTCATCCCGGCACTCTGGGAGGCTCAAGGATCAGGAGGATCGCTCAAGGTCAGGAGTTCGAAAACCAGCCTGAGCAAGAGCGGCAGGACCCCCGTCTCTACTAAAAAAGTGAAAAAAAATAGTTGCGACAACTAAAATATATAG